GCTGAACAGCAGAAAAGATCGCTTAGCTACTTTATGGGCGACAAAAGGGAAATGTCCTAACTTCTGATTACCTAATTGTACTCGGAACATTTTGTTCCACTCTTGGTAACAAGTGGTGATAGCACAGAGGCTGGATGCAGTGACACTGTTTATTTGCAATATTGCAGTTCAGAACAAGCCACACAAGCATGAAGGCGGTTACATTTGCACTTGGCCCTGAGACTTCATTATGCGTGAAAAAGACGCACTGCTGCACGCAAGGTAGCGAGCTATACGTTTAAATGGCAAGCAGCTACCTTTGAAACGATTCTTGGAAAAACTGCAACTTCAGCAAAAGGAGAACAGATTCGTGTGAATAAACTGTACAGGTGAGGCTTTTTCAGAGACATATTTTTTCAGAAACACATTTGATTATTCTAACCCACGTGGCAGACCAAAGGACTGCAGTACTGAGTTAAGATAGGGCCCACCCAGCACTGATTTGCTTCATAAACTAAGAAACAGACTCAGACTCACCACTCCCTTGACTGGGATGTAAGGATCTGTGCCCATTATAGCTTCTCAGCATGTCCCATGCTAACATACCAAAAAATAACCTGGAGAAGATGAGATGGACCCAAATGTGCCAATAGATCTTTTGGTCTTCAGAAGGGCACCTAAGCAAAGGCCCAGTGCTGGGGAAAAAACTTAAGAAAGGCTTTTGACACTGTCCCACGTAAAAACTTCATAGACAAGTTGATGAAGTACAAACTAGGTAAGTGGACAGTGAAGTGGGCTGAAACAGGCTGAAATGCTTGGCTTAAAGGGTTTCAATCAGTGGCACAAAGTCCAGCTGAGGGCTAGTAACTAGTGAAGCAGCCCAAGGGTAAATATTGTTTAATATCTTCACAATGACCTTTTTCACTGAAGACCAAACAGCACAAGAGGTTTCTTAGAGAGGTTGTGGAGTCTGGAGATATTCAAAACCCAGGTGGACATGGCCCAGGGCAACTGCATTAATGAAAACCCTCTTTGAGCAGGAGGGTTGGACTAGATGATTTCCAGGGATCCCTTCCAACCTCAACGATCCTGTGATTCCGTGATTCTGTATGTATAGATAAGGAATTGTAAAGCTGCTGACAGCAGGCAAAAAAGGATACAAATTACATGCTTTGGAAGAAAGATAGTAGACTATGGACACCCTACGATTGCATGGCCATTGAGGAGGGATGGATGATTTCCAAGCAGACACATGACCTGGATTCACAAATCCTAACAGATTGTTCAGAAGTCCTGCCCCTCCATTATGCTGGGCTACCAACTGATGCACAATAGGATCTCTGGTATCTGTGATAAACTATTTCCACAGCATTTGTGCTTGTAAGATTTGGCCTAACAAATCCTAATATTCTCTTTGTTGTATTTCTCATGTATTTTACTTCTTTCCATTTCCAATTAAACACCTCTTCTACAACTAAGCTCAAAGGAAGACAAAACATAATTTGCCTGAGTTTTATCCTGCATGGCACCTGCTGAGAGTCCCAAACTACTCTCTCCTGAATCCGTTTTGAAGATATTTGCCTCAACCAGAAGGAAAAATGGGCTCTTCACGTGCATTTTTAAGATTTCTCCATCAAGCCATTCCACTCATTTGATGACAGGTTGAACACGAGTCAGCAGCGTGCCCTGGCAGCCAAAAGGGCCAACTGTGTCCTGGGGAGCATCCCGCACCGCATGGCCGGCTGGGTGAGGGAGGCGACTGTCCCACTCCCTGCTGCACTGGTGGGGCCCCACCTTGAGTACTGAGTGCAGCTGTGGGTGCCTCAGTGTAAGAAGGACATCAAACTGTTAGAGTGTGTCCAGAGGAGGATGACCAAGATGGTGAAAGGCCTCGAGGGCAAGGCTTGGGAGGAGCGGCTGAGGTCACTTGGCTTGTTCAGCATGGAGAAGAGAAGGCTGAGGGGTGCCCTTATCACAGTCTGCACCTTCCTGATGGGGTGGGCAGCACATGGGGGTGCTGGTCTCCTCTCTCTGGTGACCAGCAACAGGACATGAGGAGATGGAACAGAGCTGTGTCAGGGGAAGTTCAGGTTGGACATTAGGAGAAGGTTCTTCACCCAGAGTGTGGTCGGTCCCTGGAACAGGCTCCCAGGGAAGCCATCATGGCACCAACCCTGTCAGAGTTCAAGGAGCGTCTGGACAAGGCTCTTAGTCATACGGTTTAGTTTTAGGTAGCCATGTGAGGAACAGGGAGTTGGACTCAATGTCCTTATGGGTCCCTTCCAACTCGAAATACTCTGTTTCTATGATCCCTCTTAGGTTCAGTCTTCTTACCTTCAAATTCTACTGCTCTAATATAATGTGGTTTCACATCCTCAGCTAAAATACCATTTTGCAACTGTGAACTCAATCCTTAAGTTCTCCCATCATTTTTCCTCTGCACAGGAATTCCCTAAATTCTTTCAAGGAAACACTAACAAACCCATCAGAACCTTCCATCATCTTTCCCCTTTTCCTCTATTCAGATAGCTAATGCT